CAGCGCCAGAAATGTAAGCACTGCGCTAGAAATGACGCAATCTCTGAGGCCCATCTTTCACAAAGCAAGAGGCTAGCAAAAACAAATAACTTTGGCTATACATGTCGGCGCCAATGCATACCACAGTAATAACGGCAACAAAGCAAATAACAAGTTTCAAATCACCACTAAACAAGTCTGGGAGTTGACCTTGGATTGTAATTATACACTGGAGCGCTGGTATCGGCAAAAATTTGAAGCCATCTCTTGCCCGGTGCCGCGGTGCGTTCAAGTCCAAAGAGGGTAACTTTCACTTTATGTCGCAGGGCAATGGCTTTCAAATGTCGCAAGTAAGCAACCAATCCATTCATTGTGCGACATACTTTCCAAACGTTGCATGTTAGCTGTTAGGTACTGTTGTATAGGTCTATGGTCTATAAACTATAAAGTCGAGATGGTTCCATCCGGCCTGCCGACCGCTTCACATCAGCTTCATCCCGTCGTGTCGATATAAGGATGCCGACCCCTGCTCTAGCTATATCTACGGGCTACGGCAGTAGCAAGAACCTTTTTGTTTTAGTTATAATTTTTAAACACTATACTTATGAGTGATGACGCAGATGAGGGCGGCAGTCCGTTGGACGGGGGGCACCGGGAATCCAAACCCGGGTCCCCCAGACGATGGGACTACTTGTTTCCAACTACCACACCAAGAAGGCAGTCATACCTAACGATGTTTTCATTCTCGTAGTCATCTCCAGCCTCTGGATCATGGCTTAGCTTTCCATTGACCAAAAAAGACCTCCGCTTTCGAAATGTTTCGCCACATGCGACTAGTAGGCGAACTATGCGACTCCTCCAAAAAATAGGACAGTGTTTGGTTATGCTAGGAAGTAGGAACCTGCGTCAATCAACATACAACCGTTTATTTATTTATTTTTGCGACAACTCATATCCCAGGTGTCATTTTTTTATAGACATGTTTATTCTTCCAGCATAGGACCTTCAGCATTGTGTTTTTGTACATCCAGACAACTCGTGCGACATCTCGCTCATGAGTGACGCCACGAGGTTCTGAACAGACCATCAGTCATAACTGCTTTCCACGTGAAACAATGGCCGCTAGTGTCCTTATATCTGTCAGTTCTGTCAGGTCAGGTGTGGGCACCAAGTGGGCATGCACCCCTACCACGTGCGGATATGGGGAACTAGGGAGGCCAGTGGAGCGAGGGAAGGCGAACAATCGATGCTTACGGTCCATGCCCCGATGGCACCGCCCATTGATAAGTCATCGCCCGTCGTCTCGACATTATGTATGTAGTATGTATACGTGCGATGGTCGATGGATGGATGTGTCCTTTCACCTTACTGCAAACAGCATCGTTGGATCCTTTGCATCGGCTCTAGGGCCGTTTAGGAGTTTAAACTGCCAATAAGTGTGCTACAAATGGGCAGACCGCGTCGCACGTGACCCAACGAGACACTGGGTGAAGTCAAAGGACAGCTTATGTAAATGAAGTCCAGCTTTGGGTCTCAGTAATAAGTAAACAGTGCTATGTCTAATGTCTATATTGCTATCAATTTGTAATATATTTTCATACATTGCCTGTCACTGGAGAAATAATGCCCATTTGTGATACAAGCATTTTGTATAAAAAAATGTTATCCTTGGAAGCTACGCCTTGACATGTTATTGCGTATGGACGCAGGAACAACTCTGGCCAACCAGTATAAAAGCAAACGGTGAAACAGTATCGGTAACGGGTAAAGGGATGATTTATTTTCTTTCGTGGTTAAGATATACCTATGAATCTGATGCCTACATTCCGGTAATAATAGTTAATCGTTTCCGACCAGCACTAACCATGGAAGCAATGAAGACCGGCATTTACGCGAGCGTTCGCCTTTATTGCCATTAGACACACAGAAACAGACACAAATCGACCATGCCTACATACACCATTTGCCGCTCAGCACCTCATGCCCTTTTCGGTGACCTCACCTCCGGCGCATTCCGTTCTCCGGCCAAAGCTGTAGCGTGGTGTGTTGTGTGGCGGGCGGCTCGAACGGGTGTCGTACTGGGGATCGATGGTCTGCCATGGCAGCCGGCGCCACGCCGCAGCACATACCTGAGCGGCGGCGCCGGCGGGCGACGTGCAGCGGCGCACTCCGCGGCGCGGCGACAAACGCGACACACCGGGCTGCGAGGGCAAGTCCGAGGGGCAGACTGGCCGGTCAGCAGTGGGCGGTGCTGAGGACAGTGCAGAGGAGGACCACTTGAGTACCTCCCGGTGAAGGGGGCTGAGGTACTCGGGCGACCTGGTGGGTCCTGTGGTAGCACGTGGTGGCAGCGGGGTGCCGAGATCGGCAGCGGAGAGCGATACTTCCGTGGTGAGTGGAAGTGAGCAAACGAGGCGAGCGGGGGTGAGTGAAGAGAAGGACCAAACGTTCTCCCTTCCTCAGAAAACGCTCTTCGACTGCGACAGCGGACAACGACATCAAGTAAGCATTGACTAGGCACACGTCATTCGAGCCCATGCTTGATATCTCTCGTAAGACCTCTGAAGGCTTTGATATACGTATGTACCTATATCAGGGGGGACAGGTGAGTCAGTTTCCTAGGCTAGAGACAGACATCGCCGATGCTGCTACCGCAGTAAAGTTGAAGAGGCCACGGCAAGCCACTGTTGATAGAGTACTTGGTCAAGCCCGTCACTCGTCGAATGCCGACAAAATTCCCGTCCCCATGCTTACCTATCGATTATGCTAAGTATGACAAATTCAAACGTTCCAATTACGATCTACGTTGCAAGTCATAATGCTCATCAAGTCACCAAAGTTGATCAACTCCCGACGAATTTCTAAGAATGCTATTCAGCCAACGACAATGGCAGGTCACATCATATTTGGGCCACCGAGGGCCACGTCTCCGGTGGATGCATGAGGCGTCTAGGGACTCCCTGTGTCGAGACACTGCGTTATTTTCTCTCCATCCTTCTTCACCCGATGCTAATTATCCTCATCAAGCTGGGTCAATCCACGCACTGCCCGTCCGTCCGCACTCGGATTACTTCTTCTGGAACATTGGCACATCGTTAGCTTCCGCTAGTTATTCCGTCCTCCCCCACCACCCTGTATTCCTAGGAATGTATGGTTCGCCCCACCTCCACTCTTAACCTTCAATCGGTTCTTTATATCCGAACTAATGTTCTCACGCCGGTTATCCCACCTACACAAAGTTCCACGAGACGCGCTTTTTAATTACTCTCCCTCTAATAAACTTTACTCTGTTCATCAATCAAAACCACCCACGCTGCTGGTAATCTCACCCTCACGCTCGGTGTCCCCTGACTTTGTTGTTTAACCCGTTTTTGCACTGTTTCACCCACCGGTTGGTTAAACCACTCCTACCCTTACCCTGTACCTTTACCGCTAACCTCCCAATCCACGCCCCGTGTCCCTCTTACCCCACCCCTACGCCACGCGCCCCCATCGCTTACCCCACCCACACACCCGGTCCCCTATTTGTTACCCCTCCCAGCCACCAGCCGTTCAGCACTGATGACCTATTGATCACCGTCGTCACACCATTGACGCTGTTCAAAGCGGCTCCGTTTTGAGGCCAGGCGGCCAGCGAGGCACATCAGACTGGCCGCTCCCTAAGCACTGGCCATACAGCTGTGACAGTGTGTGGCTTATGCGATGCTTCGTCACGATCCGGGGCAATAGAGAACCGTTACTGGCATGTTCGAAAATCTATAGGCAGACCGGCACATTCAACAGTTCTTGGACGCGGCCGGCGACACATTACTACGCTTTGCAAACTTCGTTGGGACGCTCTGAATGAGCACATTTGATGTAGTCGATCAATAAGCAGTCATTTGCATATGGTGGCAATCAACGGAAAACATAAGTTATAAATACATGAGGTGAACTGGATTCCCAAACGGGCATTGGGCATACCATCACTAAGGACCATCAACAAATAAAAATAAAGATACCGAAAAATATTACGCCCATTAGTCCCTAGCTACATCAGCAATAGCCCTTCATAAATCATACCTCGGATACAAGAGGATAAATTTCAAAGTAACGGCTTACAAGAGTTGTTCACAATAGTTCGTAACTTTTATCTTCAGCTAACCAGGAAGAATAGGATCTCCAATGGAGGGCACCAAAGACTCTACAGTTGGCACTTCGCAGCGATCACCGGTAGGGCGCGGTTGAAGTGCACGATAAGTACACACTCAATTGCTCATGAAGGGCCTCCGCCAATCGCTAGCTGCTCCGATCCTTGTGAACTGGCGGAGGTGTTACTCGACGCAGTTCTCCCAACAGTGGATTAATTTTGTTACACTGTGACATTTCGCCTCACTTAGCCGATTCAGGTGACCTTTCAGACAACAGACTTATTCTAGAGCCCTAGGCGGTTTTATTGACCGTTGATCAAAACGAGAACCTTTACTGTTGTTTAAATTCATAATACAAATACAATGGCAAACATAGTTACAACACCAGTGGCAATGCTTCACAAATCACAAGGACAGAAATAGGTATCGAATGGGGCTTAGGGTAGTACACATTTGTTCAGCAATCGTCGACAAACACACCAAAGAACCCACATGGAAGGGCTGTCCGTAACGATGTATTGTATATGGTAATTTGATGCAGTCATGCTCGTATAATTCGGCTTTGACTGGCGTGATTTTGCACCATTATAATTATTCATCGCTATCATATATCAAAGCAGCCCGTGTCTCAACCATGCAATCTGCTTACAAACGCCGCATGCTGATCTGTCATTCCCAAACAAAGGCGAGACGTTTTCTTCATGAAATGACACTGTAACGTGACGTGTCGGCCCGCGTTTGTGATAACTTTGACGGCGAGCTTGGTTCCAAATGCAATACATATGTAGCGTCTACCTAAACCCCTGGGAGCTGTAAGCTTGTAAGCACTTTTGCTTGAATAGGAAGACAAACCACAGCATCACTGACGCCGGTGACCTGTTTTTTTTTCAGCGCTCCGTCCGGGCGGGGCGGGGCTGCTGTCGGATCGGCTGTAAATGCTGCTGGATGACGGCTCGCTAACTGGCCAGTTGAGGATGCTGGGCGACCTGCCGCCGCTCACCAACGGTCTCCACGAGCCGGAGCCAGCCGCCACCAGTGAGGAGAGGACCGCAGTCGGAGAGACCAACGTGAGTTATAGCCACACTCTGAGAGGTCAACATGAGTTAGAACCACACTCAGGGAGACTAACGTGAGTTATAACCACCCCGGATAGACCAACGTGAGTTATAGGACACTGGAAGGGGTCAGCGTGAGTTAGGAGTTAAAAACGAGTACCCAAGTGTGAGTTAGGCCTGCACTCGGAGAGACCGACGTGAGTTATAGCCACACTCAGAGAAGCTAACACAAGTTAGGACCACGCCCGTAGAGTCTCTACGAGACCAGTGTGAGTTACAGCCACACTCGGAGAGACCAACGTGAGTTAAAGGTAGTGTGCCAGCTTTCCTGGACCGTATGGAGTTAATGGCCCAGATAAGGAGAACCGGATTTTTAGAACTTATCCATACCTTCAAAACTCATGGAAACGTCTTAAATTCTTCAAATTTTGAGTACCCCAGTGCGAAATTCGCCCCGACGGGTTGTCGGTCGTACCCCAACCACATTTCACACCACTATGAACAATAAATGCACACACTGAAATCGCTATTACCGATATGCTCATCCAATCAAGTTTCGATAAACCCGTTCATCATCATCTCCTGCGGTTTCGAACACGCCTGTTAGGTGGTGCGGTAGACCGCGCCCAAAGCCAGGGCCCCGGTAACGTGAGGTAGCCGAGTCGGGGCAGCGTGCGCTGACCCAAGCCGGGGCCGCGCGTCCTCCCGGTGTCATGTGATAGCCCGGGGCTGCCCGCGGGGATGCGGTAGACCGCGCCCAAAGCTGCGGCCCCGGCTTGGGTCAGCGCACGCTGCCCCGACTCGGCTACCTCACGTTACCGGGGCCCTGGCTTTGGGCGCGGCTTCTGCTCATACTTTGTGGTGCGGTGGTGGTGCGTAGGGCCGCGCGCTCTGACTTCGGCCAAGAAAAATGCGTCAGCTGATCATTGTCATTTCTGCCACTTGCGTGTGGTGAAATGGGGTCATAACTTAAAGGTAGTGTGCCAGCTTTCCTGGACCGTATGGAGTTAATGGCCCAGATAAGGAGAACCGGATTTTTAGAACTTATCCATACCTTCAAAACTCATGAAAACGTCTTAAATTCTTCAAATTTTGAGTACCCCAGTGCGAAATTCGCCCCGACGGGTTGTCGGTCGTACCCCAACCACATTTCACACCACTATGAACAATAAATGCACACACTGAAATCGCTATTACCGATAGGCTCATCCAATCAAGTTTCGATAAGCCCGTTCATCATCATCTCCTGCGGTTTCGAACACGCCTGTTAGGTGGTGCGGTAGACCGCGCCCAAAGCCAGGGCCCCGGTAACGTGAGGTAGCCGAGTCGGGGCAGCGTGCGCTGACCCAAGCCGGGGCCGCGCGTCCTCCCGGTGTCATGTGATAGCCCGGGGCTGCCCGCGGGGATGCGGTAGACCGCGCCCAAAGCCGCGGCCCCGGCTTGGGTCAGCGCACGCTGCCCCGACTCAGCTACCTCTCGTTACCGGGGCCCTGGCTTTGGGCGCGGCTTTTGCTCATACTTTGTGGTGCAGTGTTGGTGCGTCGGGCCGCGCGCTCTGACTTCGGCCAAGAAAAATGCGTCAGCTAATCATTGTCATTTCTGCCACTTTCGTGTGGTGAGATGGGGTCATAACTTTAGAGACGGCTGTTTCATATCAATTATTTTACAGAAAATAATATTTCAAACCATAAATTAATGTTCGACAGCCAAATTAAAGAAACAATACCAATACAGGCTTACGGTTTAAGTTCGACATTGTGTTGTCTACGATTAGACAGCTGATAACTCATCTCCGTACGTCGTAACCACTGAACTATATAATGGTCGTAACTCTATAATGACCTTTGCTTATTGTCACATGTGCGCCGCATTCGCGATTGTTGCCGACGCCTGTTTGCAGGTCAGCCCACTACAGTTGTTATACATATCGAAAAACCGATAAACTTTTAGGCGAAAAAAGCACTATTCCAGGCACATTTTTGATTTTTTTTTGCGACATTAGGTAAAAACAGAAGCTTCTAATCCTAGGAAAAATAAAATGGGAAATCTTTTAAAGGTGGCACACTACCTTTAAGAGACGTCTTTTTCATATCAATTATTTTACATAAAATCATATTGCAAACCATAAATAATGTTCGACAGCCAAATAAAAGAAACAATACCAATACAGGCTTACAGTTTAAGGCTCGACATTGTGTTGTCTACGATTAGACAGTTGATAACTCATTCCCGTCCGTCGTAACTCTATAATGACCTTTGCTTATTGTCACATGTGCGCCGCATTCGCGATTGTTGCCGACGCCTGTTTGCAGGTCAGCCCACTACAGTTGTTATACATATCGAAAAACCGATAAACTTTTAAGCGAAAAAGGCACTATTCCAGGCCCATTTTTGATTTTTTTGCGATATTAGGTAAAAACAGAAGCTTCTTATCCTAGGAAAAATAAAATGGGAAATCTTTCAAAGGTGGCACACTACCTTTAAAACCGTTCCGAGAGCGGCCAACATGAGTAAAGCCCAGTGTGAGCTTGGACCGCAATCGGGGAGGCCAACATGAATTAGGCCTGCACTCGGAAAAGCCAACATGAAGTAATGACTGTACTCAGAAGCAGCATGAGGTGCGCTGGTAAACGATACGATTTAGTCTTGTGAAGACGAGCAGTCAAAGCGTTGCCCACTTCCATCCAGTGTGTGTGAGTGGTTGTTATTGTCAGTGTGCGACTGCATCCGTAAGTGGGGCTTTGCCTGTGGACGCTATGCCAATAAATAAACAAATAAACAATAAACAAATTATCCCTTACATGTGCCGTAGACCAATGGCGACCGACAGGCATCGGCGGCAAGGCTCTGAGTTCTTAGGCAGTAGCCACGCTTACCGTGGACATATGTATCTACTATGGACCAACACTGAGAGGCATTCGGCAAGGAACAAGAAAATGACACCGGACTTTAAGTGACAATGTCAAATCAAGACGCTTTCCTAAGTACATAGTTGGACATAGTATTGTGTCAGTTATGAACGTTAGGCAGCAGTGAGCCCAAGGCTCGGCCAAAGCTGGCCTCTGGCGCTGGACCAATGGAAAGAGCTCTGCAGACCTGACCTGGAACACCAGCTCTCCCGGCACCGATAAAAACTGCCCCGGCCGGACTGGCCCGTCGCTGGTGAAACACACTGACGGAGCAAGGTCTCGTTCGATTCAATCACCAAACAGCCAACAACCGACGCCGAGCTTAGCGACTTTCTAATGACAACTAGGTCTTACGGCACTCACAAGTGTACGAATTAAGGCCGTGACCGCAAACAAGAGACGCTTGATGACGCATGACGGCTATGAAATGGTGGTACGATTAAATTGCGGAGGGATATGAATTATCTAATGCTGAAAAATGCTTTATAATGTTCTTGGAACACTGCACACTACGGCGAACTGGCACTGCAAATTCGCTGAATCATGATACCAGTATGCATAGGTACTATTGCGACTGCTCCCTTGCAGTCATCACGCCATTCTCCCATTTGCTTCGGAAAGAAAATGATATTCAGCAGCATGCGTGTGCGCAAAGATATTGGCATGGAATGGAAGCTATGCTTATCTAGAGAAGCTTATGAAACCGCTAAAAAATAATAAAAAGTCTAAATTGAAATTACATAAAATGAAAAAGGTGTAATTTACTACTTTTAACTCATATGCAAATTTTTTTTCTGTATCGACGAAACGCCTGCTTGCTACCGCAATGGATTACTACCGGCATTACATGCCATCTAATCAACCCTCGCCAGTCACCACATATGTAAATCCTCACTGTCAATACTGTTCAGTGTTCAGACACTATCCGTTGGCCGTCACCTTGGAACACTAAAGTACATGTCATCACCATCATCCCTCGGTTATTACCTCCCCATAATGCATCATAAGCCACGTGCCACAACGAATAACCGCCGGTTTCTATCATCAGTCGCCGAGACAGACGACATAGACTGATCCGAGGGCACACGACATTTACTGACACGGACCCGCGACAGCCTGTTCCGCCCTCCACCGGGGCCCCTCACCCTCCCTGTCCTCCCCCTCCCCCTTGCCCGGGGCGCAGGGCCAGTATTTGGTACGACTATCCAGTACCCCGTATACCCGGCCGGTCAGCGACCCTCATGTGCCCCATCGATTTGGGCATAGGGCCGGGGCAGGTGTGGAATAAACGGACGGCGCCACAGTCGTGTCGTATGCATGTGTTATACACGGGTGGTTATTCATGTTGAACGGGGCACGGCCCAATGGGTAAGGGCTGTCAGTTCCGGTCATTAGGCTGGCCTTTCGGAACGTGGTTTAATTTATGCGTCCGAGCCGATCGATCGATAGCATGGTTTGGAACGTGGCCGTTGATGTGCATAAAAAATAGCACCGCTTATCTGAACGTCTTTTTATTTTTTATTTTTCATTTGGTTCGAACCTTTTGAATGGAAGGATTCACAAGGACAGAGCCCTCGCTAAGCGGAGCTTGTTGCGTTGGCCCTGCCCTCTACCTTCCGATAGCGCAATTCCTTGTCTATGACAGAATTTGGAGCCTCAGAAATCTAACTTAAGCACAGAACCGCGCATTCTTTGGCATTTAAATTTATTTTTCACAACACAGCTATGGGATAATGCCTCATTAACAGAAATCTAATCATTTGTTTGTGCTTCAAAGAAGAATAATGAACAGACACAAAATAGATACAGAAGAGACAAATCGATAAAAAATGGCATTAACGTGATATTTGACGTTAGCAGGCGTTTTGGCCGTTCCAGTCAATGGCGAGATAGGCCTCGCTCAAAAGGACCGCGAACAGCGCACCGTTTTCAGCGGCAAACAGCGGCACTTGCCAGTTGACCTAGTGCTGGGTCATTAAGCCCATTCTTCTTGGACAAAGCCTAGCAGGGTTATGGGGCAATGAGCATTGACGCTGGTATTCCGATTTGTTTAGTGGCCTGTGTCCAAATGTTATTGATCATCCTCTGTACAGATGATACGGCCTGTTGAAAATAAAGGTAAATGTTACGTTGATTGCTGACGCTACGGTACGAAGAATCAGCTATTACATAACACACGCATTAAAAATGCCGCTAAATGAGTAAACCAAACATGCAGACACGTCAGTGGCATTTCTCGGAAGAGATAGCAATTCTCAGATCCTCAAACAACCGTGTAAGGTCTCCAAGCATAACACGAAGACGATATCATTATCATTTGAAGTTGGAACTTGGAACGTTCATTTATTCGTGCTCATTTATTAGTGAGTTTGGAAGAAGAACTGAGAAGTGAATTGCCTTCCTTCGTTGTAATAATTACCACACCAGTCATATAAATGTTACTGGCCTTGACCCGCGCCGTCTACTGGGGTTCCAAAGCAAAGCCGGCAGAGCCGGCGGGGAATTTGGAGAGCTCGGGCACCCCCAACAAGGCGGAAATTGAGACTCAGTCACTGGAAACCCCACACACACACAAAATATTAACACCGTTAGCGGTGTAATTGCACAGTACATATCTCAGAGCCGGCGGGGAATTTGGAGAGCTCGGGCACCCCCAACAAGGCGGAAATCGAAACTCAGTCACTGGAAACCCCACACATAAAAAAATATTAACACCGTTAGCGGTGTAATTGCACAGTACATATCTGAGCACTTGAGGAAAGTTAATTTAGTCCCTTCCCCGCTTAAATTACTCGCGGTTCTAAATGAACACCAGGAAGAAGGTAATAGAACACTGTTAGGAGGGTTGGGTGTTTTATACTACATGTAGTAAAACACCCAACCCTCCTAACAGTGTTCTATTACCTTCTTCCTGGTGTTCATTTAGAAGCGCGAGTAATTTAAGCGGGGAAGGGACTAAATTAACTTTCCTCAAGTGCTCAGATATGTACTGTGCAATTACACCGCTAACGGTGTTAATATTTTTTTGTGTGCAGAACATCTCAGCATTGCTTTAGGTCACTGATAAATGCCTAAGAACGATCTGGCCCTACCAGCCGTAGCGCAATGCGAATGAACGCATAAAAGAAGGCTAGCAGTTAAAATAAAAGGTTACACAAAACGCTCCTTCCTTCCGACGGATTCTTTAAAGGGCATAATTCTGCTACTTCGTCTATCATTTGTGTGCATTCCTATAAATAGCTCGCGAGTCGCAAGACCTTAGCATGGACAGGTGGCCGTTATTGATCAACAGTAGTTCATTCTATGTAACCTTGTGTATATTTCATGTCAGTGTTTCGTAATTGCGACTTGGTGTTCGTAAAGCTAGCGACATGCATGAAATTATAATTAAAGAAGATCCATGAATCGTAAGGAATATTGTAGATACGCATAACAATCTTAAAACTACGCCTTTGACTTGAAGGAGGAAGCGTTTGACGGGAACTGATGTGAACATTCCATAACCTATCACGCAAAGCTTCTCGCAGTGTATCGCGAACTGCATTTCATTGTATAACCTTCGATGGCTACATGGACCTTCAATGGCGATTGGCGAAGGCCATGTCTCCCTCCACACTGATTTATGTGACTGACCCCACCTTTCCCCGTGCTGCAGGCCACCCTGCCGCCAGTGACGCGGGTGCTGCCGCCTCTGCGGGGCGCGCCGCGGATCGCCTCCTCTCTCAGCCAGCCGGAGGGTGACCCCACAGAGACCACCGAGGGGGGACTCAGGAGGCCGCCGGAGGCCGGGGAGCTTCAGTCCGTCAACTCCGCCGCCGACCTCCGCAACCAGGTGGGCTCAGTGAGCGGGCAAAACGCGAGCGAAACGGCGTGACTGGCGCTAAAGGATGGTCAGGGAGGATTGGAATTTGGAATGCATCGCGACTCGCGAGACTACTTAAAATCAGTTGGTTAAACGTTCCGGTGACCACGGCCAGAAGAGGACAAAACTTCAGCGTGACGCGAGATAACCGAGCCTTTTTCGACTGATACTGGCGTTTATAAGTCATGAACTGTATTTTTGCTTCCAGGCGGATGCCGGACAAAAATCAGCGGAAGACAATGTTGTAGCCTCAGAAGATGGTGGAGGTAGGTTTTTTTTTTTACATTTTCTCGAATACAAAATAGCATGTTAAACACTAAACGGGAGAGGTCCTGAAATACATGCCAAAGACAACCTATCCTATCTAGAAAATAATTAACCTGACGGAAGATTTACTTGAGCATTATCGAATAAAAACAACGTGATCGCCAGTGTCTAAGCTTCCTTACTGTGGAGCGTAAGGCAGTAAGGCTCAGTCGGGCCGGAAACGCGTACTAGGGTGTGTCTATCCTGCACTGCAGCCGGACCTTAAGCTGACATAAACCCGACTCATGGCCTAATTTGCGACCCAGACTACGTGCGACCTGTTACCCGACCTTTTACACCAATACTGTAACACGTGGCACTTGACTCACGCTATGATCCGTTATATCCGTCCTTCTGAGCCTGCCTTCTTATATCGTCCTTTGACGTGATCTGTGACCGTCCCGTCCCCAGTCTGCAGTCCTCTGACGCGGCTGCTGAGTCGGTTCCGGAAGGACAAGTCCGTCTCACACGAGCCGGTCACCCCTGAACCGACTGTCGAGCCCAAGGAAGAGCCGGATGACGAGAGCCGACCCGAGGGAGAGGCACTCAGAGGTGAGAGGCGAAGGGGCGGACTGCATGGAACTGAGCACGTCTGCTCAGTCTGTCGTATAAACTAGTCTTGAAACTATGAAGGAAGGAATTTAAAAACGTACCAAGAAGAATTTCAAAGGAATGCCATTAGAATTACATCCACACTGCATACTATGCACAATGCACATTGCAAATCCCAAACGAGGCGCTTTGACGATGAAGCTGACCTGGCATTAGTAATTGTACTTAGATTTGTTGTCCCTGTGTTTAGTATTAAATGCAATACAATATTTTGTTCATGAAATCGAAATATCCCCTGCAACCGCTGAAACTGACATGTCGTGTGGCCCCGACAGCGGGTCTGCCGGCCGAGGACGACCCTCCGGCAGCGCGTGTCGACACGCCGGCGGTCACCGCCGAGACGGCGGACATCGAGCCCGACCCACAGGAGACAGATACGCCACAGGTGAGAGCGAATAGCGTCCCTCCACAGCTTCATCAGGGGAGCTGGGATAGCTGACGTGAGCAGCAGGAGCAGCTCCCTTCCTAGCTCCTTGGCTTCGTCACAATACCCCCGCGGGGCTGTAGGGCGAACGCGTCACGGACTCATCGAGTGAGCAAAAGTAGTACGAGTAGCAATGCTCCCCTCATAAGTGCAGCTTCAGTGCGATGTCAAGCCTACCGATATGAGAAATACCCAACCGCGTAACATACATAGACCAGAAAAAGCTGACGCAACACACACTGTTCGGGGATACGCTAGGGTGCGCCTAAATGTAATGTGTCGAGGCTGACCTTACTGGAATGTGGCGTTGCGTAGTACCATGCACTTTATGTAATTAGTTTCAGTGAGACAAGGAGCCAGAAATAATTGCCAAATAATTATAGCGAAGATGGCAGTTCATACAATAATTTCAATAGTACCTATCTTGCGAGTTTCTTGTTGAGATACTTAGACTTGCATGGGATATTTGGGATTGAATGAAAGGAAAGGCAAACGGTGACGGTGCTTCTTTTTCAGTCGAAAACCTGCTCAATCCTATGAAGAGGATGAGAAGAGTTTCCAAGTGTCGACTGTTGACCATCGACATCTCCAACGACTAAAAAACAACGCCCATTGCGGTGTTCCAATTCAGGCACACCGATGTCGGTTACAATGACCAACCATAAAGAGTACACCGTCGTGCTAAGTGATAACGCTAAAACGGACCTTGCACAGGCGTGTACAGCTGGCGAATCATGTGATGGGAGAGGACCAAATGCCTTCACTGCGATGTTTTGGTGAAGCGAAAGCATAAGCGAGTGGAGGGAGCGTGAGCGATGGAATGAGGATGCCGTTTCACATTTGTTTCGTATGTGATAGGCGATGCACAGAGCTCTGTTGTGATGTGATAGTTCAACTTGAACAGCTTATGTTGTTTGTTAGCTTCACGCATTTACACTACACAGTTCACACTCCCTTCGTGACGTTATAGGGAAATGTACAAAGTATAGTTTGAAAATGTACCTACTTGATACAGCCTCACTAAGTGCGTGGACATCCCATAAATAGCATGTCTAGCAGGTATTCTCATTTTGTCCTAGATGTCAATCACGAAATAGCGACTACCTGCTTACATGAAACCATAGTCCAACGCGGTTTTATCAACTAAACTGAAAATTTTTCTAACATTTTTTGGATATCCAATTATGTCCGGCTTGTACGGTTTACAACGTGTCATCGGGTAGGGGTGTGTTTTTTCAAGCCTGTGTGAAAATGGAATGTCATTTGCAAGCGATTTTAAAACTATTGCACAAGCTCGTCCCTGTATACCGTCTACAAACATGTGCTAAGAACAAATCCATTGATTTGTTTGTGTTAGGTTTAGGCATCATTGTTTTCACCTTCATTGGCTGCATTGTCGAGGCACTCTGGTGGGATACATAATGTCATCCCATGCATAGCATGCATGTCATTGGGATAATAAATCAGCACGATCAAAACTGATTGATATGACTGTCTTTTGATCAACCTTTCCTAAGCTCTGAACTAAGATCACTGTCAAATAGGGAAAGAAAATAGAATAGTAATATACATAATGTCAAGACATTCCTGCGTGTGTGTCACCGGACGTACCACCGGTATGTGAGCGCATCGCAACGGCATTACCACGAACAACGATCAGACGAGTATGGAATGGTACAAGACGTCTATTAAATGTCAGACAGAAGCGATATAAATACGCAGCACTTCGATACATGATCATATTTTTCAATAAGCGTCCAACGCCATACATCCTGCCTATTCCAATATGAGCTTGATAACAATATCACAATTGGCGCAGGCCGCAGCGCCGCTTTCTTGGCTCACAATCGCAGCTATAAAAACACGCCTCCTCTCATGCTCCCGTACGCGGACACTCGCACTATTATGCATATACGCGGCTGGACTAGCGAAACATGCGTGAGGGCCCATCGCATGCAAGTAATATAAACAACGTAGTTGCATATCAAATGGAGACATCCCACTATCCTGTATGGGAGGCACAACCGTGTGATACCCACACTGCAGCTCGCGTCAGAAGTCAGACTGGATAGAAAAGGGAAACAGAACATGAATCGTTCCTAAAGAGCACACAAAGTTGAATGCTTCCTGACAGCGGCGGATACAAGAAGTCACATTTACAGCAGCAAAGCAAAAAGGTAGAAAAGTATCACAAACATATCCTTACCTAGTAATCCGGCGAACCGAAAGAGCAACAGCAAAAGCAGCACCGCCTGAGGCTCTATGCAATATCAACCAATAGCATAAGGAACGAAATGTTCTGGCCTTCGATACAAAACAGGCATCAGCTTGCATCAAACAATGCAGTGTTCACTGTGGGGATAAACGTCACATACTGATAAAACACTTCAAACAAGCAGGAATCACGTACGAAAGTTTATTCTCTGCCGAGTAGCACCATACTGCGGTTCCAACTAAGCCCCTGCCGCCTACCGGGAGAGTCACTGGGGGTGTGGGCACGGGGAGGGCCGGGACACTACAGGCACTACAGTCCGTACTGCCGGCCGCGGTGCGCCGCCAGACTACCGTCCTCGCCCGTGATGATACTGTTCCTCACCAGTGCGTTCACTAGGCCCGGTGTGACGCTGAGGAGAGGCGTGGGCGCCCGACACGCAGCGAACGGGTGGAACGCGCCGGGCAGCGGCGCCGGCGCCACCGAGCCGCGCGCTGCCGACGCGCGTACCGAACGGCGCACCCCCACACCGTCCCTGGCCGACTCGACCTGCGCCTCGAGGGTGCGCAGCTGGGCCAGCAGGTGCCGGAGGCAGGCCTCCTCGGCCGGCCTGCCGCCGCCGCCCACATCCAGCGTGGGCACCCAGCGGCAGAAGCAGAGCGTCCACAGCCGCACGGCCGCCACGGAGGTCACCGGCCGCAGCTGGTCGGCGCGGCGACGGGCGCGGCGCGGCGGCGGCTTGGGCGGCCCGCTGCCGCCGCCGGTCACAGCTGCCAGTAGACCCAGTCCGGGTCCGACCGGGCCGCGACCGGCCGGCGTCGGCGGCGTCTGCACCAGGCCCAGCTGCAGCTTTACCTCGTGGGCGGCGCTGGTGAACAGTTTGCGCCAGTCGGGGTCGAACTGCTCGGCCCAGTTCCACACGGGCCGTCGGCGCAGCGGGTAGTCGTTCTCCTGAAAACGGGGGAGTAGCGGGTCAGCGGGGAAAAACAGAAGAAGGAAGGAAGGTCAAGGAAAGCTAAAAGAAAAAACAATAACGCCTAAAATGTAACTCAACAGCCAACTGACAATATTTGTCCAAGGATGAATGCAACATAAAATAACTTAGGACATAGGAAAAGGAAAAGCAAAAGAAATGTTTCAAAGCATTCAACCAACACATCCACGTGTGTATCAAAAACGGCTAAAGGAAGGTGACACTTACCATTGGGATGAACAAGGCTCCTCTTGTTTGGAAGCTTAGGACTTTTCCAAAGGAATGCTTCGAAAAAAGGAAAATCCCTTTAGGAAAACAGGAAACACAACTCCGCGAGAACCAGGCTTACAGGAACTTCGCAAGCTAGAATAACCGCGACTAATGGAAAACAATTCGTTAATAAATAGCATCGAGTTAAGGCCGCCGTCCACTGTGCGGAACGCGTGCGGTCCGTACGGAATTTAACACAGAACCCTATGGGCGCATCCGGTCCGTACGGCAATCGTGTGCGCTCCGTCCGGACCGCATCCGAACGGCAATCAGCTGTTGATTTTCCGTCAGCTCTCCGCATGCGTTTCGGATGCGGTTGCTACGGAGACGGAAGAGTGATGTCCGACGCGTTGAACTTTTCTGCGGAAAACGCATCCGGAACGTCCGGAACAGACGTGGTTTGGGGCCGTGTCGGAGGCAAACATTGTGAATTGTACGAAGAATTGGAACTCGATCATCATGAAGTAAGTAAAAATTATTTCCTTAGAGTGGCAAGAGTATTCGCTGCTGGTTCTGGTTACTTGCAATATTTTATTTGGTAATAAGTGATAGGAAACATTTATTAGCTCTCCGCATCCGGACCGCATCCGGACCGCATCCGGACCGGATGCGGCCAGCGTGCGGCGACATTCCAGACGGACTCCGGACGGAATTCCGTCGCAGTGGACGGCGGCCTTAAAACACTATAACTAATAACTATACTACGAAATAATAGTCTTATATTCAGAACAATGGGTATATTATCACTTCAGCCTAGGAATATGTTGTGTCGTATGTGTAACCGATTAAGCCTGTCATATAAAAGCACGCCAAGGGTCTCGACACCCGAAGAAAATTACGACATGCAGAATGTGCGAACGGCCTAAGCCCTAACGTAACATTCACACGGCTGAAATTCCAGCCCGTCATTCTCTCAACAAGATCCAGTCCCTCCGTCCCACCAGCCAGTATCCCTCCGTCCCAACGACATCGGTTCGTCTGTACCAACAGCCTCAGTCTCTCCGTCCCACTGACCATCAGACTCTTCGTCACATTGATCCTCAGACTCTCTCACCCACTGGCTTCAATTGCTCCCACCCACTATCTTCGTTCTAGTCTCTAGCCCCTCCGTCCCTTCAATTCGAGCCCCTCCGTCCCTTCAATTCGAGCCCCTCCGTCCCTTCCATTCGAATTCCTCCGTCCCAGCAGCTCTAGATCCTTTGTCCTACCAGGCACAGCTTCGGTCCCTCCATCTCAACTGAGCTCCAGTCCCTCCATCAATCGGCCTCAGTCTCCCCATCTCATGATGATGATGTGGGGTTTAGGGCGCCCGGACTGAGGTCTCTCTATCACAACTGCCTCAGTTCCGCTGCCCCGCCATCATTATCTGTCAACAGCTCAAGATCCTCAAGTCCCATCAGAACCCGTACCACCACCCCACTATCCGTCCCTCCATCCCACCAACTCCATCCCCGTCCTCTGCATGACCCCGTGACTTACCTTGACTGACGAGGCGTCGGCGCGCTCCTTCTCCGAGTTGAATAGGAACGTGTCGAAGACGGACACGTGTAGTGAGTCCCACAGACTGACGAGTAGTGTCTCGGTGAACTCGAACCGGGCGGGGAACTGGACCAGCAGCTGGTGCACGCAGTCCAGGAACAACAGAAACACGGGACTCTGTACAGAGAGAGCAGACAGGGCGGAGCGGTCAGCAGCTGATGTCAGCGACTGCTAACTATAGATGATATAACGGAAAAGTGTGGAGGTAATTCGCGTATTATTTATCAATGCTGTCCAGTATTACTCTCAATCGCAGAAAGACGTAAAACCCACATAAAGTAAGACATTATAACCAGTAACCACGTCCAGTTCCAAATAAGAGCTTGCACCAGGCGACAGCACAGCACATCGCACGTCCCCTGTATCCACCGGCCTGGCACGCCTGGTCACCTTTTTGGCTCCATCCCGGTGAATGAGTCCCAGTCGGTCCTGGAACGGGTGACCTAGCGCCACCCACTGTCTCTGCACGAGCCGCTGGAAACCGGCCAGCGTCCGGCACTCGGCGTCCACCAGCAGCTGGGCCAGACTGGCCACCGCCGCCGTCAGATCTCGGCCCGTCGGTCCTGCGGCGCACAGAGGCGGCGGGTGGTCAACACAACAC